ACCTCCCTAGCTCCACCTTACACACAAGGGAGAGGCATACAGGGTACAAGAACCTTGTAGCATCATGAAACCACATCAGAGAAACTCTGCTGGGATCACATCAAAAAAGAGACACTTAAAACATGTTCCTTTTGGTTTATGACGTTTCTTTAAAGAGCTGGTGGTTGTGTTGGGGCACTTATTATGACTCGATTCCTGCTTCCCACCAACCTTCTTTATTTCTCCTGATTGATTGAGCCTTTGCTATCTCTGGAACCAGTGGTGTGTGTAATTCAGAGTCCTTTCCCTAGACTGCTTTGGGAAACGAGCTCTCTAGGACTCACCATTCCATCAAAGTCTATCTGACGTAACTTTAGGCAAGTCAGTGGAGCTGTCGTGGTGAGACACATGCGAGGAGGGGCAGGACTCTTTGCTCATTGTCTTGGAGCAGTTTGGTCACCCGTGTGCAGGCAGGGAGGTCATAAAGGAAATCTCAGTTCCTAAAGCCACCTTTCACCTTTTGTAGTCGCCAGAGTCATTATGTCGCTTGTACTCCTATTAGTGTCCTTGCTTAGAGTCCTGACTTACACATCGATGGCAGCACCCTCTCTTCTATCTCAATGACTCAAGAGCTTTAAATGTTTTCCCTCTTTTCCCTTTTTTCCCAACGAATTGCACAGGGAACAAACGTGTTGTCCCTTGGTTTTTAGTGTTTGTCACGAACACGGAAATACCCTACTCCTAAACTGGACAAGACATACCTGCTGATTAGAAGTCTTAACAACTACGCAGAGGTGGCAGGGCTGCCCACAGAGTGTCACACAGATCTGGTCTTCCTTGGTGTCAATTATGAAGCCTTTTAAAGTCAGCTTATTCATGCTGATTTGCACCGACTTTGCCTCCTACACAATGCTAGTCAATGGGTGCTTGAAGATTTATAGGGAAGTTATCTCAGTCTCTTTGCATGTTTACAGCATGTCTACCACAGAGGTGTGATGACAAAACGCGTTTTATTCCTCTTCAAAATCTGCTGCAATGGTGCCATTTATGGGGAAAAAACACAGGAATGTGCTCTGTGGCTTCTCAGCACCATTTTAGAAATCCTATAACTACCAGTTTGGTCAAAACAGATCAAAGGGGATATTTTATTGTATATCTGAGCAGATTAAAAGAAGCAGCCAACAAATCAGTTACATAAATCAACCAAAAAGGACTAAAGTGTTTTGCGATTAAACTGATGAAAGCCAATAAGCAGAACAAAGAAGTGCACCATACAGAGGCATGTTGGACAGGTATGTGTTCTACAGAAGGGGAGATTCAAAGAGAAGGTCTTTCCTATCTGAAGCACTTACCGTGGTTCAGAACTGGAAGAGTTTTCTCTCCCACCCCCTAATTCCCTTGTGCTAGGAAGTTATTTCCTGATCAAATATGGGGAGCACAAAAGGAAACAGGCCTCATCTTTAATTAAGAAAGCCACAAGAAAGATTTGGCAAGAAAAAACAGTTGAGCAGCCATAAATATTCATAAAGAGGGGTTTATGCATCTCATCAAGGTGATGGTGTTCCCATTGAAAATAGGCAACTCTATCACTTTTTATGTAAGAGAAGAATAAGTCATGAAATGACACAGAATTGGGGTTGCTTTCTCACCTCCAAACTACCCCCCCACCATTTCAAGACCTGAGAAGTTAACCCAGCAAGTGCTTTACTTTAAACCTGTGACCAGCCCCTCTGAACACCATCACAATCTCTCATCAGCTATGCAGCAGCTCATCCCAAAGCTGCACAAACATGAGCTTGGGCACTAGGGCTTTAGCATAGCAAAAGGGAAAGCTTATCTCCTGCTGGCTGAATACGCTTCCCAGGAGGACCTGACCCACCTTCCAGGGGCAATTCCTTCCTTCTGTGTGGCTGAGAGAACATTTTCCACCCAAGAAAACAGCTTTAGCCAGAAGGGACAAGAACCCCTATGGATTTATATGGAAGTTGCTTTAACCTAGTAATAGTGAAGTGTTTTTTTCCCCTTTTCTTATGTTTTTGCTTTGGAGGGCAGTGTGATGCCATCCCAGATTCATCCCATCTTCAGGGGCCCGGCTTTCCATACGTCCCACATTCATTTCCACTGTACAATTCTGGTGGAGGAAGACATTGACACGAGAAAGATCAAACCAACCCTTTGCTTTGTTGCAAGCCTCGGCTCTACAGGCGCTCATCACCGCACGCAGATATGACATACGTGTACACCAGGGACGGAGCCGTGTGATGTTGTGTGCTCTCATTTAGACTTCAAAGGAGCAAAAGAAATTTGGCGCCCAAAGGGTGGGACTAATTTCACCCAACTTTAACCATCGAGAAGTGGGGCGCCTGGTCTACTTGTCTGGTTGTCTAGACTGCCTCTGGTAGTCAATAAGAAGAGAGGCAAGTACCTCCAGAGGTGGATTCCTCCCACCCGCCTTAGCTGCCTATTTTAGGATGCAATGAATCACCGTCTGGAGATGCCTATCTCTTTCCATTAGCCATAGATGGAGTCTCAGAGATGGAATTAGAATCCATGGCTAGTTTGATGGCTGAAGGAGGGAGGAAGGTGCACCCAGGCCTGGTGTTTGATGAATTTTATGAGGAGCATCCTTTGAAAATCCCAACCTCGACTTCTAATGTAGAGCAGATGTAGGCTAATGAGAGAAAAAATACATCACCAGCTTGAATTCCCTTGGACAAGTTTGCCTTTAGGCTACTAGGGAACGAGGCTGCACTAATCAAATCAACTCTTTAACATCTCATGAATGACATGGAAAAGAGTCTGTACAGCTCAAGAAACTACGTGCATAAAAACACATGTTATGACCCAATCTTCCACCTATGGAATGGTTTTAGCACAGGTAGGTTATTGCCATTGTCCTGTCTGAATGCAATGAGTTTTCTCCGGCTGCAGATAATTACAGAGATGGAGCACAGCTCTTTGAGACTATCGCATAAAGCTTATTTTAAGAGCTAGTTCAGATTCATTTCCAGAGGCAACAAACAAATTAGTGAACTTCACATGTTCTTGTAATGAATTTCATTTTCAGCAGCACATTGAGGGAGAAGAATGCTGACAAAGGGAGAGATTGCAAGTTGTCAAAATGACTCATCAAACCCTCATAAAAATATTTTCCTTTTTTTTGCTTCCTCAGTCCTTCCCCTCCTTTTTTTTTTTTTGTGTCAAAAAGAGTCAATTTTTGCTTCAGGATACTCTCCCATTTCTCACGTCCATACTCACAATGACAAACTGTTGATTCTGGAGTTCTTATGTACCAAAAGGTGAAATACTCATTGTTCCTTGGAAAGACCAAAAAGACATTAAGTGAACCTCCTGCCTTGCTGCCTTCTCACTGGGATTCAGGAGCAACAACAGGGATTTGGCTAACACAGAAATTTTACCCAATACCAGGCAATGTATGCCCCAAATCTCTTACCTATCAGGAAGTCACGGGCTCTGGTGAGGCATTTTAGGACCAGGGCTGCAGCAGCACGGTTGGTTCACAGACATTTAATTGCAGCCTATGTTATGTTCCAGGTGTCTCCTACACATTCAACATGTCTAATGGGGTACAGAAAGGGAGCGGTGGCACACCAGCCTTCCGTCTCACTCTTGGTCCAGGACATAGTTTTCCTATATATAGCTCATAACAATTGCCTTTTGTCCTCTTCTTTGGATTCAAGCATGCATTTCACTTGTGATAAATCTTTGTTTAGAGCTTAAAGGATCTGGGAAGTTACAAGCTTTAGCTTGAAGCCTCTAATATTTGTTTTAACTGATATTGCCAGTTGTGCTGGCACCCCAGTATGAACCGTGAGCCTAAAATACTATAAACAAAGGTGCAATGTGAAAGTCATGCTGTAAATATGTTGAATTACCCCATTTGTATAGGGCAAAAGTATTAGTTTACACAACTAATTCGTACCACCAGCCCCTCAAACTCACATAAGTTACAATTAGACTTCAATTAATAGCCTTGGGAACCTCTGCTGCAGTCACGTCCTATGGTTGCGCTGTGCATGGATTCTTTTTAAGAACTTGATATTAGAAGGGTTAATGTTTTCAGGAGGTTTAGCATTGTTTTTAGGGCTTGCACAGCCTGATCCTAACTCTTGGAAAATGTACTCGGAGGGGGTTAATGCAGATGAGGGAACACAGCTACTGGGTGTCCCCAGATACTGTCCTGTCGTATGTAATGTGGAGACTTCTGCAAGCATCGCTCCACTTTGGTCAGGAAAGGCTGAGGGCACTTAGTTATTTGCACTATAATGTTTCTTTTTCTCCCAAACAATTTACTCTCAAAGAGCTGAAAGAGCCCTATTGTCAGTTTGGAGAAGGCCCCGAGATGGTTGGCAGATAGGTTTGCTGTCTTATGCCTTTGGGCTGGTGATTAGGAGAGAGAGAGATTCACCTTGCCAATGTGAGTCAAAGCCATAGCTGTGTCCAGTCTAATCCACTCATTAAGACTTCCTCTGTTGATGCAGAAAGACCAGGGCCTGTGGAGAGTGAATCACCCCAGTTCCCCTAAGCATGGACCCAAGGGCTGTTTCTCTTGGAGATGTCTCTCCATGGAGTGTCAAGGACGTGTCTGGCAAAGCCACCCAGCTTTTAGCTGTCACTTCTTGAATGAGGTGCATCTCACCAGGCTGGAACGTGCTACTGTGCCTTTTTAGTTCCCTGGTAGTTCCCTACCAGAAGATGAATCAAAAAGGTCTTTAACATCCAGCTTGGTAGAAGCTCCAGTATGGCGAGGGCCAAATATTTATCTGTGTCAACAGGACTTCAGGTTAAGAATCTGCAGCACTGCTCAAGTGAAAATGTCACTGACAGAACAGAACATAGATCTGCTAAGCAAACCAAAATACGCCACAGTTCCTGCTCTGTTTTAGAAGTGTTTCATGGTGGTTAGGAGAAGGTCAGTGTGAAATGCTACATGGGAAATGCTTTTGGGGGGCATTTTGGTCCTATCTAGACCCATAACACAGTGAATGTGCGGGTGTTTCAGGCACAGAAACAATCCATCCATCACAACACAACTTCCACCATGTTTTTTCCATGCTTGACTTTTTTGTCTCTGGTTATTCTTCCGCACCCAAAGATTGTAAAATTACCCCCACAAAGTGCAAGTCTGCAAAACCTGCCATCACACAGAGAACCCCATGAGACACAAAACCCCAAACGACACACTGCAAACAAATCACAAAGAGTTTCTTCAAAAATGTCTCCTAAACTATAATTAGAGTAAGTTAGGGGAACACTTCAAACCATAATGTATTCTAAGCCAACTTGCAAACAGAGCACTTTCAGATTCCTTTTTATTTCCTCAGTAGTTAGTATTTGCTGGGCTGTTTTGCATTCTGAGGAGCATTTATTGCTGCCAGGCAAACCAAACCCTTAAGCGCTTTAAATTAACGTCCTGATCCTATCAAGGCCAGCTTCCCAAATATATATAAGGGGTTAGCATCACTGGTGTCACTCCAGCAGGATCTCTGTTCCTCTCCTGCAGAAGAGCTTCCCCTAAACTTCCATATTCCACCTCCAAGTAAGCCACGATGAGCAGACAGGCGCCTACAGTGAGATCCGTCCTGGGACGAAGAGGCTTTAGTTCGGCTTCGGAGATCTGTGGTCGCAGCTACGCTGCCTCTGCCTGCCAGCCTGTGCGCTGCGGAGCCGGTGCCTACAGCAGCAGGAGCGTCTGCAACCTTGGTGGAAACAGGAGAATTTCCTACGTGAATGGGGGCTGTGGAAATGGATGTTTTGGAGAGCTCGGCTTTGGAGGTGTAGGCTACGGCAGTGTTGGAGGAAGGGTTGGTCTTTGTGGCCCCAGGGGATATAGCATTGTGAGAGGGTACCCCGATCGCAAGGCTGAGGGTATCCAAGGCATCTGCATCGATGAGAGGCTTCTGAAGCCCCTCTGCGTTGGTGTCGACCCACTGGAACATGAAATACGCTGCCAGGAGAAGGAACAGATCAAGACCCTCAACACTCAATTTGCCTGCTTCATCGACAAGGTGAGTGCAAACCTGCTCGTGCCATGAACCACTGAGCCGGTTCCATGCAAGGGTCCAGATTCCCATCGCCGTGTTGGTTCAGGCTGAGATCCTCAGTACTGGGGAAGGGCTCATTTCAGCCACACACCGGTCCTAGTATATGATGGTGTTTGTATTGTGGCCACGGGAGCACTGGACTTTCCTGCAGGTGTCTCCTCTCTGGACAGCCCCAGTTCAAGGCTGGATTTCCCTATTGCAGCCTTGTTCTAGCTCAATGAGAAGTTACAGCCCTGATGGGCTCATCTTTCTGCCCTGTATCATCCCCTTTTCTCCCTTTGTCTTTAAATAGAGCGACTGTTCCCAAAACATTCCTGAAGGCAAAGGAGGTCAATCCCGTTTCAGGCATTAGATATCTAAGACTGAGCTGCCACCTTAGGGTCCGTTTGTAGAAAAAACAACCAGGTCCCACTCTATGGGGACTCAATTTCATCCTAAAATACAAGAGGCACCACTTAGAGGAGCTTTATGTCTATTCGTTAGTGAGAAAGGCAGATTTAGACATATGGCTTTTATATTTCTAGATAATGTAAACATGGGATTTTTAGATTTCTAAATAAAGGCCGATAATTGGCTCATTATCTTGGCATCTCACCTCTCACTTTCCCAAAATCCTATTCCTACACCCCGAGTGAGAGCAGACAGTTAAACTATAGGTGCTGAGTTACTGCATTAATCTCTTGATTTGAAGAATTGCTGGTTTTTGGCCTGCAGGTCCGATTCCTGGAGCAGCAAAACAAAGTGCTGGAGACAAAGTGGGGCCTCCTGCAGCAATATGTCCTGCCAAAGAAAGGGAAAAACCTGGAGCTCTACTTCGAGAATTACATCTGCGACCTAAGGAAGCGCCTGGACTGCTTGCTCTGTGAGAAGCAAAAACTGGGCAGCGAAGAATGTGCCACGAGCCAGCTGGTGGAGGAGTTCAAGTGCAAGTAAGGACCTTCAGGTCTCTTCTAGCTGTTGGCATTCACTTCTCCTCTGGTTCATCTCAGGCAACATCTCCCAGACATGTGGCACATCACCTCTGGGGATGTCACATTCTTCTGTCTCACTTGCAAACTCTTTGCATTGTTAATATGGTTGTTCATGAAGGAGCTTCTGATCTTGGAATGGTCTCCAGACACTGAGCTTATAGTGCTTGATAGCAGCCTCTGAGCAAGTGGAGGTCGTTATTGATACGTGATGGTTAATGTCAGTGTGTCTGATAATACTGTTTGCCTCAGCCCCTTTCTTCTCGTTTTTCAACAGATATGAAGAGGAAATCAACAGGCGCACGACTGTGGAGAATGAGTTTGTGGCACTCAAAAAGGTGAGAAATTCAAAATGCATGAATCATTGTATCTGAAATAAGTTTATTTGGTGTAAATCTTGGCCAAAATGATGCATTATTAGCAAATGCCTGGCAAAAGTGTTATAATGAGCAGGTGGAGGAGGCCTGTAAAGAGGTACAGGGTCAAAGAAAGAGGCAAATGCAACTAGAAAGCAAAAACACTGTACCCTTAAAGCTCACACCATCAGCACTGCAGCAATAGTTTTGTTCTCCCAAGCACAATGGGAAGGTGCATTTGTGGAAGAGGTCACACTGGAATATCCGGTGTCTAAGACGTTGGCTATTTTCTGACTGTCTCTTCATTTCCTTTATACTTGGACATCAGAAAAGCAGAAATCATTTGGACAACATGAAGAAATAATGTTTAAACTCTCATTAGTCAATTCTGAACTTGTAGCCACGTCCTCACTAATAAACAAACAAATCCCTGTAAGTCGTGTTGGAATGGGTTTGTTTTCCTTGAGGAGACACCAGAGCATCCTGACTCACCCTCTCACACCTTTCTGCTCTTGAAACCTTGTTGAAACATGTTTCTGTTTTATTGGTGCTGTCTCTGTTTTCTGTGTGCTTCTCCACCGTTTGCAGTGAGATAGGGCTGGACCGTGTCTCCTCTCTTTCAGGATGCAGACTGTATCTTTCTGAACAAGGAAGAGCTGGAGGTGAAGGTGGATCTGTTAAGAAGGCAGCTGGAGTTGTTGAAATGCGTGTTCGAGGAGGTGAGTTTTCTCTGGTCCGCCCCAGAAGTTTGGTGGTGCTGTCTCATGCTTCAGGTACTCCAAATTTGTACAGCTTGAAACCCTTCCTGGACACGTCTCATCCCAAGCTCTGAATACTTGAAAGCAAGGAAGTACAAGGTTGATATAACATTAACATTATGATGCTAGAAATAGGGTGGTTCCCCCTTTCTCTGGTATGAATTGTCCCTGTCCTAACTCTACCCTTGAGAACAGAGATGAGTCTGTTTAGTTACTCCGGATTGCAGTTGTCTGATTAGAGCTAAAGAAACTCCCAGCTTAATCCTGTCATTAACATCAGTAAAGAAGCTGAAGATGACAGGATATTAAGGGTTAAGTCACCCAGATTCCTTGCCCTTTATGTGGACAGAATTGCTGCAGGTCAGCATGCAGGTCAGCAGTTGACATGTGGCAACCCATCCAGCAGGGAGGATTTTCTGCTGAGACAACCTGAGGGCCATTTCTTGACTTGTTCTGTCCCTCAGTGTGCCTCTTTCTCCCAGCCCTTCCTTCTCTACAAAGTCTGAGCATTGCTAACACCTGACTAAGCCATTCCCCAACCTGTAGGAACGAGCTCAGGTAGATCGGCAGCTATGCGACACTTCGGTCATCGTGAAAATGGACAACAACCGAGACCTGGACATGGAAAGCATCATCAAGAACGTTGAATGTTGGTACCAAGAAATAGCTCAGAAGAGCAAAGAAGAAGTTGATGCTTTCTATCAAACCAGGGTGAGTAAGAAGTAACCTGGGGTCTCAATGGCAACTGAAGAGGTCAGAACTGGTGACCGTCTTGTTTCTTGGTTCCAGTTTCAGGAGCTTCAGGATAAGAGAGGCAAGTATTGCGACGACCTGCAGAGCAATAAGTGTGAGATTTCAGAGCTAACCCGTATGATACAGAAGCTGCAGTGTGAACTGGAGAACGTGAAGAAGCAGGTAGGAAAGGTCCAGAATGATGACTGCAGAAAGGGAAATGTCTTGGAGAACAATTAAGTTATCGGGGAAGATTGGCCTTTAGTAGACAAGACCTGCTCTAGGCTGTAGGTGGAAAGTGTATAGTTGGAAAGAGGATAGTGAGAAGGGACACTGGTGGGTTTTCCCTCTGTTTGCAGTTGGAAAAGTGGATTGAAAACTAGAATGTCCAAGAACTGGGAAACGAAGACTTGAAGACTGTTATCTTCCCTTCTGACAGGTCTCCTGCCTGCAAACCTCCATTTGTGATGTTGAACAGCGTGGAGATTGTGCCCTCAAAGATGCCCGGGAGAAGCATGTTGAGCTGCAGAATGCCCTTCAGAAGGCCAAGGATGAGCTGGCTTGCATGCTGAGGGATTACCAGGAGCTGCTGAATGTCAAGCTGGCCTTGGATATTGAGATTGCAACGTATAAGACTCTACTGGAGGGTGAAGAGAGCAGGTGAGTGACAAAGACCTTGTCCCTTTCCTCCTGTATTCCAGAGGGCAGAACAATTCCAGCTTCCAAGTGAATTTTGCAGCTCCAGGATCCTCCCAGGCTCACAGAAAATGGCACTGGAGAAATGGCTGGAGGCCATACAGGCCACCATTGTGCCAGGAAAAACAGTGCCTGTCCTAAGGATAGTCAAACGTGTTACAACACGGGATGAAGTGGGCTGGGTCTATGGCTGGAAGTTATGAGTAACGTAAGGTTTCCAGATGTGCATGCAACTGGTTAATAGGATAACGTGTATTTCTCTTCTCTCCCCTAACAGGATATGTGTGGGGAACCCAGTGAGCGTGTGTAAGTAACCTGAAGATTTTCAGCCATGAGGGCTTCTCATGTTAGTTTATGGAGTGCTTATCTTCTTCCCTGCCTCAGTCTTTAATATTCACCTTTTCTAGGTTGCAATGAGACTTTTGCCCTGTGAGAGCAGGTAGATTAGTAGTGCCATTGGCCTGTAACCCATCTGCCCAAGATCCCTCTGCCTTCCTTTTCCATGTTGGCCCAGGCTGATGTTGAAAGTTTAGTTTCAGAAATCCCAAATACCTCTGAATTTATGAAAAATCAGCTTTTGGAAGGAGGGGGGAAGGTGGAATCCAGGACCCTTTCTCTATTCTTGGAGGCAACAGCAAGCTGTCCTGGTGAGTTCACCAGGCACTGATATGCATTGAACCTGGGAGAGAACATGGCACCAGCCAGACGAGCAACGTGGGAACTGGGAGGATGTGTGAGGGGATGTGTTGCGACATGGGGAAGGAGCTGGAAGGAGCAGGGGCTCCGGTATGTTGGACAGATCTAGAGGAGATCAGGTTGGGTTGGTTCTGTCACTCATGAAGCAGCATGCCTTGTGAGAGTCTTCCAGTTTTCCTCCCTGTATAACCCCTCCCATGGGCTGTCTTGCAGCTGTGGTCAGCAGCGGCTACAACATCCCTGACGACTGTGGGATGCTGGCTGCAAACGCGGCTGCGTGCGGCTACGGCTCCTTGGGAAGGCGATCCGGACGGCACAGCTCCCAGAATGGAGGATTCAGCTCCCGGAGCGCTGGGATCCACCCCAAGAGAGTCATTAGCTCGGTGGCCAAGCAGTGTGTCCCAGAGGTGTACTGCCAAGCCGGAGCTGTCAACTGCAAGAATGGGGGATTCAGCTCCCGGAGCGGGGGTTACCCAGCCCGCACCGTCATCAGCACGGGGAACGGGGGCTTGAATGCTCGCATGGGGCCGTGCCAAGCTGGTGGGGTGGTCAGCTTTGGAAACCAGGGCTGCGTTGTCAGGCAGCTGGGGGGCTCTCCCGTCGTCGTTGCGAACAGCCCTGAGGTTGTGGGGTGCAACAACGGCGTGGTGGGGAACTACGCGGTTGTCAGAGACCCCTGTGTTGTGCCGTAGGGCCATCGGCTGGGAGGTGGCAGAGCCACGGTGGAGAGCAGCACTCAGAGGTGCTGAGATGATGCAGGGCAGCTCCTCTGCCCCATAGCAGCAACGTTTGCCACCCAGTCCATTCCCACATGTATTAGTATTAGATATTTACCCCACCAAGTGATGTGTTCAGAGTCCCCAGCCCTAAAGACACATCTAGAAAGCTTCTCCAGCAGGTGCTCAACACAGTGTTATTGCTCTGAGTTTATACTCTCTAGAGGATCACAGCTTTAAGGGTTTGCTTCTTGTGCTGCCTTCTCTCTCTGCCTTTCCCCATAATGAGCATTAATGATTTTCTTCCTTCCAAGACTCCTCTTTTCCTTCGAGCTCCTGCCAAAGCATTTCAGAGAAGAGAGTGATGATTTAGCTTTACCAGGAGGCGCTGCAAAGAGCACGCTCCCCTTTTGATTTCTGTCAAAGAAAAAAACCCTGAGCTGCCAATTTGGGCTTAAATTTTAATCAAAGTAATTTCAGCTTCCAGAGCACCCGCTCGTTACGCTGCAGCCATAGGCTTTGTGTGGAATCTGCTTACAGATGAATCCATAGAACCTTCATGCGCTTCTGCATGCTCGGGGTGGCTAGTTCAAAGTGTGCTGTTTAGAAGAGCTCACCCCCCATCCCTACCCCCAGAATTCCAAGGGAAGTTATTGGTGCAGATGTCTTCCGAGCTGACATCTTGTACTCACACCAACAGGGTTTCTTTCACTGACTGCTCAGACTTCCCAGCTTTTCCTTGCGCCTTCAATAAACTGCATTGAAAGTATGTTTTGTCCTGGAATTTTTCCCTAGATGGAATTTAAAGGAATCACAAAACAGGTGAAGAAGAAGGGTGGGAAGAAAGCACCAAGCAGATCTTTGATTCCTTTAGCCAGTGGACTCAGGAATGCCCTGTGATGTTATTTTGTTTTGGTTACCTCCTTTTGTCACACCACCTATGAGCTATTTTATAGCCCAAGGAACAACTGATGCCAAAGTGTGACAGAAACCTCCCAAATCGTTCTGAGCACTGTAAGATGTCCTCTACCACAGGTTTACCAGCCTGTAGCTCCATTCACCTCTGATCCTTCCATGTCACAGCCGTTGAATATATATATATATATATATATATATATATATATATATATATATGTATATATAAAGATGCCATCGCTGATCTTCTGGGCTCGACGGGGCTGTACTCTGCGAGCGTCATACGTGCTTCAGACACAAACCCTTTGCTTCAGTGGCATTAAGGCTGACAAAGTGTGAAGTTTGCCTTGTATGACTTAAAAGGCAAAGGGATAAGTTATGAGACCTATAGGCCATACCGGAGTGGCATTGACTTTGTCTCAGTTTTGAAGTCTCCCATGTAGTGCTCCACGTGTGAACTGCTGGCTTGGGGCTCATTTCATGGAAAGAAACCAACATTTCCATGGGCTGATTCATCTGACCAAATGCAGGTGCTTAATTTAGCATGAAACACATCAAGCTCTAGACTCCACTGACAGCATCAATTAGGTCTCTCCTGGCTCTGCAGGCAGCCTGGGGCAGGGGCATTAGTGCAAATGGAGACATCACCATGCAAGACGCCTGCATGTACTCAGACGAATACACCCTGCCCGTCATCCACTGGATTCACAGACACTATTATCACAGTGAATTTCCTCCTGTCTCCAGCACATGAAGAATTACAGGCCACACGGCACTACTAATCTGCCTGCTCTCACAGGGCAAAAGTCTAATTGCAACCTAAAAAACGTGAATATTAAAGACTGAGGCAGGGAAGAAGTTAAGCACCTTTGGGGAAGGGCATGAGATGTCATTCCTATACTAGGAGTAGGAGCTGCTTCATCTAACTTTGACCATCTTCGTGTCACACTCTGGTTATGGGAGGTGCTGAGTGCTCCACCTGAGCCCCTCTCTCAAGTGAGGAAACCCAGTTCTGCAGTTTATACAACCTCCAAGCGGCTGCAATTAGATGAGATGGAGCCCACCTCAGTGGGTAACTTTGCATCTGAGCTTAATGCATTCACTGCTTGCAAATGTGACCTGGAAAGAAGGGAGGCCTGATGTTTAGAGTCCCTGCTGAGACATTTGGCAGCTCCAGTGAATTTCCTCAACGTCACCAATTCCCTGTGTGGTTTCACGATGTCACTCTCGGCCACAGCCAGGCAGTGAGCACAGGAACCACTGTGGATCGAAGTTTGGGTCTTCCTTGTGGCTAGGAGGAGGCATGGCAGTCCCTTTGCAATCCATAGCCAGAACTCAGCTTGGCTTTGTTTCAGAGGCCATTTTTCATTGGGTTTTGCTGTTGCTAAAAAAGACAGGAGGTGGAGAAAGCCACAGCTTTGGGACCTGGGGTTAGTCCTCACCAGCCACTGCTGGTTGACTCAACCAGTTGGTCTTGCCCTTGCTTGCTTTCCCTCTATGGCCCGGTGAAACAGGACCTGGCTTTGCATGGCATTCCGAGCCTCGAAGGGGTGACAGCACAGAAAACCCCAGGTTTTCCAGAGCTTTCCCCTCCTGACCATTAAAGTCGGGACACCCATCTGTCCCCAGATAACAGAAGACACAAGCTTGGGCTGTCGGTTGCAGTGCCTCATTTTCTTGCTCCAGGGGTGAACTGCAGGCTGGAGTCTAAAATAGCTTCCTAGCATTAGTATGGGTGACTTCTCCCATCCCAGCCAAGGAAGCAGGAGGTGGCTGCCTAATTTCAGTGGGAGAATGATTACCTTTCACTGGACTGAATAACAGAGGGAAGAAAGGAAGATGATATTACCTCTTCCAAACCAAGGGCAACTCCTTTTCTCCTCATTTTGAGCCAACACCTGGATGTTCTTAGCTACAATGGTAGCAAACCGAAGAGGAAAATGAAGGCTGCATTATTTTTTTCTCTATGGCAACAGCTTTTACCACAGGACTCTTGTCCCAAATGGAAAAGGTTCATCCCAAAGAGTTTTCAAACTTGTGTCACAAGCTCAGGAACATTTTCTTGGAAGTGATTGCTATCTTTCCTTCCTTTTCCTCCTTTTCTTTTAATAAATCTTGAAGATTTACGCTATGAAAGGGTTTTGGTTTGATGTTTTGGCTGACCAATACTGGGGCAGCGGTTGGACTCGATGATCTTAAAAGTCTTTTCCAACCTAGTTGATTCCATGATTCGAATACAACACTCCAATCCCAAGCCTGCCATGGTCGAGGAGATGAAGATGGAAGTGAGAAGAAGCAAAACCATCTAGACTAAGTGCATGGTCTAGGCCTCCTCCATTATCAGTGGGGACAGATGGGCAACTCAGAGAGTGCCCCTTCCAAAACGCAAGCATGTTTTGGGTGTGTTGCTAAAAGAGCAGTATGAAGACAGGGTGGCTCTACAACCTCCTGCAAATATGTCACCACCCTTTATAACCAGCACTTTCCATTTCAAGCATCCTGTCCAGCGTGGAACGCTGCCATAAATTCACTTTCAAAACCCTTATCCCACTGACCCACTCACCCTGAACTTAATTTATAGAGTAGAAAGGGTGACTCACCTTCTCCTAAAGGATCTCTCTGCACTAAATACACCAGGACAAGAAAGTGGGAAGAGGAGGAAAAGGTGGGATTCTTACAGGAAGAGAAAATAACCACCAAGTCAGTCATCTCCACGGCGTGTCCCTGCGGTACAAGGCAGAAGAATCAGCACAACTGTGGCAATCAGCTGAAAGAACTCACTTCACAGTGGATATCTGAGCCGGTAATTACCCCGAGTGGAACACATTAAACAAGGGAATGTTCTCTGAGCCATGATTGTCATTTAGGCTTTTTTACTTGCTCGTTATTCCCTCTGTGTGTGTGATAGTTACGATGATGTTTATTCATGTCAAAAGCAGATGCCATTTACTACCAGTCAAACAAAACTATGCAGGCTCAAAAGACATTTAGCTCATCCACCATGTCCAGTATAAGGGGTATTTTCAAAGTCTGCCACTAGACGGGCTCTTTGCCTTCCTGCTCTGCCTCTTTCTTTTTAGTTTAAGGCATCCGTGCCCATGGAGGGGGTTGGAATTAAATGATCTTAAGGTCCTTTCCAAAGCAAACTATTCTATGGCTGTACTTGGAATGAGCAAAAGATGATGGACCTCTGCAGTCCACCATTGGACGATGGGTCTCTGAAGCCTTTTTCGCTCAGAAGCAGCAGGAAAGTCAAAAGCAAACTCATCAGCCTTTGAATCAGTAGCAACAACAAGAACTCTGAACAGCTTTGCTGGAACAAGAACCCTCTTTGGTCTCTGCGCAGGACTACGGAGACCGTGGTGGTGGATCACACACAGGACAAGATGTGGAAGCACATGCCATAGTTTTGGCTTTAAAGACCTTGGAGATTGCAGGGAGCTGGGTTAGTGCAGAAGGTTTGGAGTTTACAGCAGCAGAGGGGTGGATCACAGTGATGGTGATCCTGGTCCCACTCATTCTGCAAGATGAAAAGAGCCAAAGCGTCGACAGAGATGAACACTCCCAGCAATGGTTCAGTTCTGCGGCTGAATCATCCGGGACTATGAAATATGCAGATAAGGAAATCCCAGGAGGAAATCTGCCTGCTTTGCTGATAAGGTAGGAGCAGGTATTTTGCCTTGTTCTGAGGTTAATTCCTTCCACAGCCAAACTTGGAAGTCCCCAGCCACATCAGAAGGAGGTGGTTTGGAACACCAACTTGTGTCATTTCAGCTGGGTATCCTAGGTGTTCACAAGAACATTTCAATAGCTCAGAATTCCCTGGAGGACGGTAATTGCATTTTTGTGGCCTTATGAAGTGGAATCATTACTCAGGGAATCATAATCAGGGATCATTTTCCTTTCCCCCCACCATGTTTTCCTTCAGCTATCTACTTTTCAAGCAATGCATCCCTGAAAGCACAGTGGGTTTATTTCCCCTTTCCTCCTGGACTAAACGAGAAGGTTTTGCTCTCCTGATACTTTACTTTCTGCTCTTTAATGAACACACCATTTACTAGATTTG